GAGACCTTATGGCTCTCTACAACTACCTGAAAGGAGGTTGTAGCGAGGTGGGGGTCGGTCTCTTCTCCCAAGTAACAAGCGATAGGACAAGAGGAAACAGCCTCAAGCTGTGCCAGGGGAAGTTTAGGTTGGATATTAGGAAAAACTTCTTCACTGAAAGGGCAGTCAGGCACTGGAACAGGCTGCCCAGGGAAGTGGTTGAGTCCCCATCCCTGGAGGTATTTAAAAGACGGGTAGACATGGTGTTTGAGGACATGGTTTAGTGGTGGACTTGGCAGTGCTAGGTTAATGGTTGGACTTGATGATCTTAAGGGTCTTTTCCAACCTTAATGATTCTATGATTCTATTTGTGTAGTTTGTTCAACTGGTGACAAAAAGTACTGGGAACAGCCCCTCCACTTTCACAAAAGCAAAATGGAAGTAACTTACCAGTTGTTAAACATACAAATTAACATAAGAATGTGCAAAAAATACCTTTTTGTGTAAAGGTAGGATACAGTATCCCTGTTAAAGTAGCTGATGTTACACCAGCTTTTTTTGCAACCTCTCCTTTTCCCATATTTAAAAACAAAGCGCAGAGAGGATTGTGATTGCTGTGGTACTGAAGGCTGTTCCACTTACATAGATGCACAGCATATATAAAAAGAAATTTCAAAGTTCTCAGTAATTACTCTTAGAGAGCACAATTTATAAAAAGCTAACCTAATGTTTCTTTAGCTTCAAATGGAGAAAGGTATGCCACTGAGGCGTGGCATTATTTTTTTAAAATAAGATGTATGGTAATAAAAGCATAGAAGGTTATTGGCATTCAGCAGTATCCCCTAACCAGCTACATAACAGTTACACTGCAATATTTATTTCATTCATTGCTCTTGAACAAAGTTCCATCATATGTAAATAAGTAGAGATACAATGAAAGCTATTTTTCCTATTCTGATTTACACTAAAAGCAATAAAACATGAAACTGTTCTTATGTAATAAAAATTATGAGAAATTTTTTTTAAATCAAAATAAAATGTCAGATTTTGGGTAGAGATACCTCGGAGCAGTAGAGCACTATAGGAAATAAAGAGCATGCTAACTAGATTTGCATCCTAATTCCGGTGCAGTGCTATCATGATGGAGTCTCACCGCTTCCATTTCTAATTCATCCAACATCATTTCAGTGATCTTAATGCAAAGTTGTATGTATTCAAAAACGAGCTTTCATTACTGACATTCAATATTTAAGTAAATTTCTACCGTTAGAGATATTAAAAATGCAACTGAATAAATACCTGAGCAACCCAATCTAACTGGATCTACATCGAGCAGGGGCTAGATTAAATGATCTCCAGAGGTTCACTCCAAGGTAAATGACTCAATGATTCTAAGCCAATGCATCTCCCTCTAATTTTATGATCTTTGTCCTCCTGCATACTACCGCAGTAAGAAAACTCTCCCAAACAATATAAAGTGGTAAAAAGCAATCATGTACATAAGAAAGAGACCAGACCTATGCCTAACACGAAGAACATCAGAAAAGTATTTTTTTCCTTACTCTTCATCCCCAAACACATTCAAAGAAAGTAGAAAGGTTCTGTCTACTGTATACTACTAAGAGAGAGACAGGCTATTTCAGCTGTGTTGTAGAGCACTCTTAATGGTTCACATTTTCAGCTCTCTCCTTAGGTCCATTAAAAGAAGAACATAGGACTCCATTTGTCAATGACAGTGATGGAGAAATCTTCCAAAAAGATCATAGAGCATAAAATACTTGCAACAAGGGAGGCCCATACTCTGAGCAGTGTAATGTGGATTCTGTTTTGTTCATAAAGAAGCTTAACAACTTTGCACTTGCTATAAAAAAAAGTTTTTATAAAAGCTACAAATATTTTCTTGTTACTTAGAAGCAACATCAGCTCTGTAAATTATGTTTCATGTCATTTACAGAGCTTTTGTTAAGTTGAAAGGACACTTTCAGGGAATTTTTCCAGTCAAAGCCAATTGCACAGATGAGGTGTCTGAAAAAAAAATTGTAGCTAAAACATTCTACTAATACAATTATTTTAATCTGCATGAAAGAACACACTCATGCTTTCAGTTTATGCTACCTGAGATGATTAAGTAGAGGTTGTAGTCTCTCGTCAGACTGTATGGAAGGCAGCGATCGTGCTGTCAGCTAGAAGAAAACAGAAGTTCAGTTAATAAAATATTGAATGATGTAACAAATCACCCTGTGCTGCTACAACTTTACACAACATTGGATAAGACATACTTTCTCCTATTAAAAATAACAAAGCACAACCTTCCAGAATCTAAAGTTAGCAGAAATATTTACAAGTTAACAAAGTCAAACAGTAAAAAATAATTTTTCTAAAATTACAGTGTTATTTGAATTAAATAGCAAGACATCACTGAAAGTGGTATACTTTTTTCCAAACGTATTTGAACTCGAAGTCATACTCTACCTAGCCTTCCAGCAGTCACATAATGTAAACATAGTCCATTAATCCATATTATATACAATTTACATTTGTATAGAAAAATTTACATAATATTTAGCACTATATGACTTTCATATAGACATGCCTCTGTGTACACTTTTTTTAAATGGGCATAACCTGTATTTTGTAATTTGACTGTTCTAAACTAAATACATACTTTTTTCTTGTAACTGTTTCATATGACTCGTTAAAATATTAAACTTCTTCTGAAAAAATAAACCTAGTAGTCTATAAATCAACAAGTATATGTCATGCTATTGCAGATTGCTAGTTAATTGGTGTATTAACTAAAAGAATTGGAAAAATACATGTATTAAATTTGCTTAATATCATAGGTGTCTACTTTCACCTATAAAAGTTAGAAGCATAGCAGTTCTGATACTGCTGACATACATCTAACATAAAATATTTAATATAACATGCATTTCATGATTCTTTTGCTGCCAAGTTAGGCTGTATTTTGAAAACTACCTTCATACAAATTTAAAATTTCAACATATTTCACATTGTAGGAATCACTGTCAAGTTCTTAAGTATTTACAGGTAAATTAAAATAGCATGCATACAGTTATACATACTCTTTAAAAATCTTACTAAAAAAAACAAACAAAAAAAGTTTTAGCACCAACAGTGTAGCTTCACCTTGCTGGCTCCAACACACCAGTAAAGGCAAGCACTGAAGCAGGACTAACTAGCAGGTGGCAACTTCTGTTTATAACCCACAAACAAATATACCCCAGAAAAAGCTGTGCTCAGTGTTTGGGTACAGGGGGTTCATTTGTAACTGTAAGAAACTCCATGCCAAACTCCATCAGCTCATAGGTAAACTGTGTGAATATGAAGGAGCTTAAGATTTTCCTGAAAGATCCCGCATTCACCACATCCATTTCATAACCTTTGTTGCGAGGCAGAAGTCAGACTGGGGCCAAATTTTAAACTCGTGCCTCGAGCTAGGAATACCAACCACCAGCTAAATGAGAGGAGGTTCAAAACAGCTGGTCTGTCAAGTGAAAATTGAAGCTACTAAACACAAAGACAGCGGGGAAGGAGGAACAGACCATTGCAGCTGTTAAGCCAGCCCTGGCCTGCAGCGATCGCTGCTTCAAAATG